ATAAATACATATAGTTCTGACCATTGTGACGGGCTTTGGTAATAAGACTTAGATCTGGGGGATAAGCTCCTCCATTAGCAAACCTAGCAGCTGATTCATTTGCATATGGCTGAGGAAAACGATCGCTGAGTTTACCAGGGCGGGTAAACATCTCACCCTCATCATTAGGGCCATCAACCACCTCAATCTCAGCTGCCATAGCCTTTACCTCATCTTCTGTATAAGCGACACCAACCAAATCACGGTACGATATCAAAGACATAGAATGGCAGGAAGCACAGACTTGTGTATAAACTTGATGACCACGACGAATCGAACCATGATCATATGAACTGAGGATGCCCTTGTGAGGCCATGGATACATGCCAGGCCATGCTCGGCTTCATCAGCTGATGCTGTTGTTGCAAAACTCAAAATCCCTGACACACCAGCTCCAATTAATGCAAGTGCTCTTAAGGACCTGCTGCCAGTAGAGCCAGCATCATCTTTCTTTGCTATGATGGATGACAAAAAGGAAGGGTTAGTAGAATGAGGCTGGAGTTTCCTCCTCAATAACTGCTGAATAATACCTCCAGCCATCTCAGTCCACAGAAATGGAAGCGAAGACGAAGCTTGAATGGTCAAAGGGCACAATAGCTCTGCACCCATTGCGTTTTTATGTCCCACATCGACAAGCTTTCAAAACTTTTAGTGTTTATATACTCTGACAACGCCTTACGATTAACAAGTATTGCGGTGTTGGAAAAGTATTTGATCGTGATTATGCGTTTAGCAGCCAGAGACGTGCTTAACGGCTATGTGTGTTGCTAACCGCAACCACCGTCTCTGATTGCTCTGGCTGCCTTATCAGAGCAGCGATGCAGAAAACTTCATGAACCTCCAAGACCGCATTGGTTTGTGGCTTAAACCATTACTTTTTTACTTTTTAAAAGTTGAAACCAATCCAAAATGTGACATTTTTCCCAAAAATTAATAAATTACATAGCTCTTGATGTGAAACTCAAATGAAAAAAGAAATTTACATGTTAAATTTGTTGAAGGATTGCATATTAAATAATACAGTATTTAATACATTTTATTGTAAAAATTAATCAAAAATTTAGGCATAAAAATTAATTAATTGCAATTTAAACAAATAATTATAAATTTATTACTGTTTTGAAATTATTTACTCGTGTATTGCAATGTGTCATTCTCTGATTGAGCGTAACCACTCACGCCTAACCTAAATTAGGCATGACTCGTCTGATGTTGACATGTGATATAAAAAATTTATAATTTAACTATAAAATTTTTACTTTTGTATAATCAATACTGATTTAATATTGTTAGTTAACTAAATTGGTTCATAATTGGATACTTAAATTACTGATTTAGTATTGTTAGTTAACTAAATTGGTTCATAATTGGATAGTTAAATTTCAATAGACTTAGATAGAATTAGGAAATGATTAAAGAGACTTACATTTATATATAAAAATTGTTCAAAAATTGCAATACAGTATTTAATACATTTTATTGTAAAAATTGTTCAAAAATTTAGGCATAAAAATTAATTAATTGCAATTTAAACAAATAATTATAAATTTATTACTGTTTTGAAATTATTTACTCGTGTATTGCAATGTGTCATTCTCTGATTGAGCGTAACCACTTACATTTACATTTATATATATATATATATATATATATATATATATATATATATATATATAACTTATCGTTTATCAAGTTGCTTGAGATAATTTTATCTCTGGCTTCAAAACACACATTGTTTTTAGATGTTGAAACAACCCAAAATGTGTGACATTTTTCCCAAAAAAAATAAATTACATAGCTCTTGAAGTGAAACTCAAATGAAAAAAAAAAAAACAATCCTACGTTAAATTTGTGCTTAACAGCTATGTGTGTTGCTTACCGCAACCGTCGTCTCTGATTGCTCTGGCTGCCTTATCTGAGCAGCGACGCAGAAAACTTCATGAACCTCCAAGACCGCATTGGTTTGTGGCTTAAACCATTACTTTTTTGCTTTTTAAAAGTTGAAACCAATCCAAAATGTGACATTTTTCCCAAAAATTAATAAATTACATAGCTCTTGAAGTGAAACTCAAATGAAAAAAGAAATTTACATGTTAAATTTGTTGAAGGATTGCATATTAAATAATACAGTATTTAATACATTTTATTGTAAAAATTGTTCAAAAATTTAGGCATAAAAATTAATTAATTGCAATTTAAACAAATAATTATAAATTTATTACTGTTTTGAAATTATTTACTCGTGTATTGCAATGTGTCATTCTCTGATTGAGCGTAACCACTCATGCCTAACCTAAATTAGGCATGACTCGTCTGATGTTGACATGTGATATAAAAAATTTATAATTTAACTATAAAATTTTTACTTTTGTATAATCAATACTGATTTAATATTGTTAGTTAACTAAATTGGTTCATAATTGGATACTTAAATTTCAATAGACTTAGATAGAATTAGGAAATGATTAAAGAGACTTACATTTATATATATATATATATATATATATATATATATATAACTTATCGTTTATCAAGTTACTTGAGATAATTTTATCTCTGGCTTCAAAGCACACATTGCTTTTTAGAAGTTGAAACAACCCAAAATGTGTGACATTTTTCCCAAAAATAAATAAATTACATAGCTCTTGAAGTGAAACTCAAATGAAAAAAAAACAATCCTACGTTAAATTTGTTGAAGGATTGCATATTAAATAATACAGTATTTAATACATTTTATTGTAAAAATTGTTCAAAAATTTAGGCACAAAAATTAATTAATTGCAATTTAAACAAATAATTATGAATTTATTACTGTTTTGAAATTATTTACTCGTGTATTGCAATGTGTCATGCTCTGATTGAGCGTGACCACTCATGCCTAAGTTGAGCGTCATCCACGAGACACTCACACTTAAATTAGGCATGACTCGTCTGATGTTGACATGTGAAATAAAAAATTTATAATTTAACTATAAAATTTTTAATTTTGTATAATCAATACTGGTTTAATATTGTTAGTTAACTAAATTGGTTCATAATTGGATACTTAAATTACTGATTTAGTATTGTTAGTTAACTAAATTGGTTCATAATTGGATACTTAAATTTCAATAGACTTAGATGGAATTAGGAAAGGATTAAAGAGACTTATATATATATATATATATATATATATATATATATATATATATATATATATATATATAGGGAGAGATCTTTTGACTCTAGAGTAAGATTTACAACTCTTACTCTTCATCTCAACCGTTGATTTTTGTCCATCTAACTGTTATTATTTATTTGAAATAAATAATTAATTAATTGTTATAGATAACCGTTAGATGGGCAAAAATCAACGGTTGAGATAAGGAGTAAGAGTTGTAAGTTTCACTCTAGAGTCAAAAGATCACTCCCCATATATATATATATATATATATATATATATATATATATATATATATATATGGACTTATCGTGTCTCAAGTTGCTTGAGATAACTTTATCTCCTGTTACAACATCCATGCTTAGAGATGGATTTTGTGGACTAAGATCATAAGTGAGATAATGCAAGAGATAATTTCTAACCACAATCCACAATTGAGGAGAGATGAAATTGTCTCTTGCATTATCTCGTAAATGCACTAATGATTTTGGTACATATGATCCACCTCGAAGCATGGTTGTTTGCATTCACTAATTCTATTCTCCTATTCATAGGTCAAAATCAAGAATAAAAAGGAAAAGTAAATTAAGGCGATAAGTAAACTTAAACCATTTTGTTGGCCTATGCAATGATAAAATTAGTCTCATCCTAAAAAATTCTTCCATAGACTTTTACATGTAATATAACTTATATAGATTAAGCTAATAAATAACAATTTATATTATGTTTAAACAGAAAGAACCCTTCAACTATAAATCTATTACAAAAACTCTCACGTGACTCAAAACTTTGTAATTTTTTTTTGGTAAACAACAGTTAAGGCCCAAACAAAAAGGAAAAAAAAAACAGAAAAAAAAAACTAATTAATAAATACCAATGACTTGCTCCCCCCTACAAAGGCAAGATCAGCCTGATATAACAATAGTATACCACTCAGAGATTCCACAAATGTCATCTAGTCCGCAAGATCATTGACATTAAGAATGTAGTTTGCCAACCAATTTGTGCAGATATTTCCTTCTCTGTATGTATGTTGCAAATGAACCTGCCAATTTTTTCTAATCCATGTCTACATACGAGCAACAAGTTGAAGCTCACGGACTCTTTCACTATCCGAAGTGAGCACAATAATCGCACTTGAAGAATCACTTTCTATGATAACATTATTAAATTCTTCGTTCTAAGCCAACTCCAACCCACGAAAAATGCTTCATAATTCATCAAATGTCACATATTATTTTCTTTAGGAAGGTTTTTTTTTTCACATTTGCGTCAAATTAAATTCACTACTTTGTAAATTTAGTAATTTCGTGAAATCTAGTTACTAAAATTTAATAAGATACTTTACGAAATTAAACTATAACTAAAGGGAATTATATATATTTTATCCTTTATAATAATTGTAAATATTCCTCATAAGACAATAAATCAAAAATCGAAATTCCATTCTTGGCAGCAAGATTATTTATGGTCGATTTGAGAATATGTATTTAAATCACCCTTTTTTTTTATCTTTTTTTCTTTATTCGTTTGTTATATATAGAGCACAATATAATATTCTTGAAGTTTTATACCAGAAAATATATTTATGTAACACACAAGAAAACTTTGTTTTTAATGAACTATTCCAAATATGGAATTCATTTTAATAAAATATTTATTCCAAAATTAATTTATAGTATCTAATATGATCACTTAGGAATAATTTCCTAACTTATTTATTTTTCCCAATTTATTTTCTTATTAAATTAGAATTTGAAATCTACTTTTAGAATAGATAGGAATTAACGCTTTATAGTTTATATCACATCATAACACATAAAATCAATACCAATTTCATGTTATTCGGTCTTTATTATCTCTTATATTCCTTCCCTACCTAAATCTCTATAATTTCAACACACATTGACATAGACTTACATGAAAAATATAGAAGAGGATAAACAGAAAGCAGAAATTAACTAACTTCTAGGATTGTTTAACATGTACATGAGACTGAGAAGCACCAATTGTAAACACCATCAAGGAGTAATGTTTCCCTGTCTTGCCTTAAGGACAAGCTCTTCAGTGGTGGTGCCAATGATCTCGTTAGCCCGTTTCAGCCCAACACATTGATACCGACCAATAGAATCCTGAATTCAAAGGTCAGCTTACAGTCAACACAAAAATCAAAATCTCTTCAGAGCAAAAATTTCCTAGGGTCACAATAATCAAAAATAATCTCCTAGCAATCATAGCAGCATACCATTTCATCAACCTTAAAGAGTTTTACACTAGTTGACAAAATCTAACCTTAAAAGAGTTTTACACTAGTTGACAAAATCTAGTAGCTACAACTTAAGATACTAACACAAAGCAAACAAAATAATAATAATAATCCATAGGTTTCAATTTTCCTTGATGTTCTCATTCAGTCTAGAAATATATTAAAATCTCTAAAATGAAATTAATGCGATAAAAGATAAATACAATGACTCATCTCTAATTGGCAAACATGGCTCAAACAATTAATATTTCTTCAAATACTTCCAAAATAAAAATTACCAAATTCAACAATAGCACATTTAACACAAATTTAGACAACAAAGATTCATCTATACTACTATAAAGGAAACACCACACATGATCTTTCCTATTTGCTTATAAGAAATTTCCAACTGCTATTAGCACACTCATTTAACCTTTAAAGATTTGCAACCATTCACTTTAAAATGTAGAGAGATAAAAAGAAGTGGAAATAACAAAAACAAAGTTACATAAAAAAGGAACCCAAGTTTTCCATTGAAGAGATGCAATATTAAATACTTCAATTAGAACGAGAGAATTTTGGGAAATCTCACCCGAGTAACAATTCCCAATTTCTCCAATTTCCCAACTGCATCATCCACATCAAAATTACATTCCTCCCCAAACTCCTCTTTAATTAGTTCCTCACACCATTGATCAAGATCCTGATTCACATTATCAGATAGATAACATAAGGACTTGAGTAACACTACAAGAAACCTTGTTTCCATAAGTATAAAATAGAATTTCAAAATAAAAAAGGTGGAGAAGAGAACAGAAAACAAGATTTCTATAAACCTATATTGATGTAGATACCTGTCTTGTAGCTTTGCCCTGTTCCATCAGAATAAAGAATGAAACTATTACCTCTTTGACCTACAAATTTAAAGAATTTCAGATTAGTAACCTTCAGATTAAATGTTTGACAGTGCAAAGTTACATAACGAAAAATCAAAAGCAAGCGACTCAAATTAAAGGCTAGTAGTAGCAACTAACAAATGATCTTCCAGCAATCTAATCACTCAATTCTTAGTTTTGAAGGTTACACGCTTGCCAATACACTAGACTATCACATACAAAGTAACATAAATTCTAAGTCCTTTAAATCACAACTGAATGATGTTTTCACACTACCACCAGTCCCACTAGATGAAAATTTCATACCAGCAAAACCAGAACACAAGTACAGCCAACCAAAACAGAACCAAACACTGAAACAGAGCACAATAAGCAAAAGCAAACCAATAACCACCCACCCAGATCAAAACAGTAACAGATTGAAGGAGAAAGAGTTCAGCCACAACCCAGATTAGCCACAGTCAAACCCAGTCGTTAGCCAGAGTCACCCCAAGCAGGGACCCAGTCAAACCACCCACAAATTGAAGTTGCACCAAGCACAGACCATTGCATTAGGGTTCAGATGAGAGAATGAGGTCGAATGGGATGTTCCAGATGAGGTTGAATAAGAGAAAGAGATCAAATGGGGTGTTTAGGATTTTGGTAGGCTTGGTTTCTTTTTTTGTTTTTTTTCCCCCTGAGAATTGGATTGCTCTGCCACTTGGATGGTGGCTGCCTAGACTGCAAAATTAGCTGATCCCTATAATCCTACCACAATCTCACCAAACCGAGCACGTAATTGTAATTGAGAACGAAGATCCCACAAAACAGCGTAAGATTGTATGATCCTATATCAATCATTGTGATCTTTACAACCTTGCATAAGTGTTCAACTGTTCATTATTTAGAGTTATGCGTTATAAAAAAAATTTCTTTCTAAGCAAAAATCTTTATTTGATTACAACCTCATGGATACTTAAAAAAAAGATTAGCGGAAAAAAAAACTTATTAATCATATGTACAACATGCATGATATGTTTTAATGAAGTCAGATGGCCAGATTAGATGAGTTCTGACCACTTTAGGCCAAACAGGGTTATTGAGGATTGACCAGACTCAAACTGGCTAGTTTCAGACTCAGATTATTCTAATAGAACTGTCCAGCCGTATCCTATTTTTCAAAATTCTAAAAATATTAACAAAAATCATTGATACTGATTTAACTGGGAAAAAGAGCAGAGTGCATCAAGCTAGCACTTACTTCCTGTTGAATGACATCGTCACACAGATGGAGAAGTGTACCCTTTCCGCTGTCCAGTTGTTTGTCATACATTGACTGTGTAATCAAATTTTGGTATTGAGCCATATTTTGTTGGAACCTATGGGAAATAAAAATTAGTAGCCACAATGGTTAAATAGATTTTGCCAAATGCATTTACTTGTATATACCACAAACTTGTCATACCACAAACTTGTCGAATGTGGTAATTGAACATGTGAACAAGATTCAATGAGCAACATGACTATTGAGCAATGACTAGTCCAACATTAGTGGGAAAAAGAGTGATTTAGTAAAAATACAACAATCCATATAAGAGTAAAAAGATTTCTTTAGAATACTACCCATTAAAATAGATCAAGTTTCAGGGTTATATGCAGCTGACTATCATAATAATCATTGGAAAGCATATATTTCCAATGAAGGGAAACAGTAAACATACTTACGTGAAGTATGTCTTAGCACAATAACCAATTACTGTGGAGAGAACAGCAATGATGACCCACCAATCAGCTGTTGGCATTTCAAGTGAACTAACTACAGCAACCTGCTAAGAAGAACATTAAATGCATTAGTTCAGAAAATAAAAACGGAAACATGTTTGAATTCTAATTTTCTACACTCCCCCTCAAGTTGGGAGGTAAATATTGATCATTCCCGACTTGCCAATCAAGTCTTCGAATGCTGGACGGTGTAGGCCCTTGGTAAGGACATCTGCCGTTTGCTCTTTGGTTGGAACATATATCAAATGCACACTTCCATCATCTAATTTTTCTTTGATGAAGTGACGATCAACTTCCACGTGCTTTGTTCGATCATGATGCACAGGATTTTGAGCAATGCTAACAGCTGCCTTGTTGTCACAATATAGTTTTATTGGTAGGGAATATGAAATCTTCAACTCTTGAAGAAGTCTTCTCAACCAGATTCCTTCACAAACTCCATGAGCTAAAGCTCGAAATTCTGCTTCAGCACTACTTCTTGCAACCACTGTTTGCTTTTTGCTTCTCCAAGTAACAAGATTTCCCCACACATAGGTGCAATAGCCTGAGGTAGATCTTCTGTCTACTGATGAGCCTGCCCAATCTGCATCAGTGTAGATTTCAATTGTCCTTTTATACCCCTTTTTAAAGAATAATCCTCTTCCTGGAGTATTCTTGAGGTATCTAAGCACCCTATAGACTGCACTAAGATGCTTCTCCTTGGGTGAGTGCATGAATTGACTAATCATACTCACCGCAAAGGCAATGTCAGGACGCGTATGAGATAAGTAGATTAGTTTACCAACCAATCGCTGATATTGTTCTTTATCCACCTCATTCCCATCTTCAATACCTAACTTGGTATTAGGTTCCACAGGTGTCTCAGCAGGTTTACACCCTAACATTCCTGTTTCCAACAAAAGATCTAGAACATATTTCTTTTGTGTTAGAGTGATGCCTGTTTTGCTCCTAGCAACTTCCATACCAAGGAAATATTTGAGAGTGCCAAGGTCTTTGAGTTCAAATTGAGCTGCTAGAAATTTCTTCAAGGTGTTCAATTCCTCAATATCATCACCTGTAAGAATTATATCATCTACATATACAATAAGAATAGCAATTTTACCATCCTTAGAGTGTTTGTGGAAGAGAGTATGATCAGTCTGTGCTTGAATGAAGCCTCTTCTTTTGACTGCTTGTGTGAATTTGTCGAACCATTCTCTGGGAGACTGTTTCAATCCATATAGAGACTTTTTTAGTTTACACACTGATCCATTTCCCTTTTCAAAACCAGGTGGAGGATCCATATAGACTTCTTCATGTAAGTCACCATTTAGGAATGCATTCTTCACATCTAACTGTTGCAGAGGCCAATCTAGATTGGCAGCAAGAGATAAGAGAACTCGGATGGTATTGACTTTAGCAACCGGAGCAAAAGTCTCATGATAATCTATCCCATGAGTCTGAGTGAAACCCTTTGCAACCAATCTTGCCTTGTATCTGTTGATGCTATTATCTGCATTGAATTTTATTGTAAACACCCATTTGCATCCTACTGCCTTTTTTCCTTTGGGTAGGGTCACTATCTCCCAAGTTCCATTTCTTTCTAAAGCATTCATTTCTTCAAAGACAACATCCCTCCATTTTTTATCATTGAGAGCCTCATGTATATTTCTCGGTATCTTTGTACTATCCAACATAGTATTGAAAGCACGAAACCCTGGGGACAACTTTCCATATGAAATATGATTAGAAATAGGATGAGTAGTACAAGATCGAGTACCTTTTCTGAGAGCAATGGGCAAGTGTAGATCATTTTCACCATGACACTCAAGTATTGGGGTGCTGGAACTAGAACATGGTTCAGAATCCTGGCAGTGTAGAGGCTCTGGGTTATTCACACTTTGAGGAGGCTTTCGCCTGCTATAAACTTGTCCCCATTTTGAGGAGGCTCCTGATGGTGAGGATTCTGTAGCTCCCCCTGTTTCCAAAAGTAGAGGTAATACTGTGGCATTAATAGGTTCCCATGACTGATCTTCATCTACTCCTATAGACTCCCCCTGAAGAGAAGTCGAGGGGAAGAAAGGGTCATTCTCAGAAAAAGTGACATCCATAGAGACAAAGACCTTACGAAGAGAGGGTGAATAACACTTATAGCCACGTTGAGTAGGAGAATAACCAATAAAGACACACTGGAGAGACTTAGGATCAAGCTTAGACCGTTGATGGGAGGGAATATGGACAAATACAACACAACCAAATAACTTGAGAGGTAAGGAGGAGACACCTCGGAAGGAAGGGAAGATACGAACAAGACTAGAAAGAGGAGACTGAAATTTCAGAATGCGAGATGGCATTCGATTTATCAGATACGAGGCAGTGAGAACTGCCTCTCCCCAAAGATATTTAGGAACACTCGTGGTAAACATAAGAGTCCGAGCAACTTCAAGGAGATGTCGGTTTTTTCTTTCCGCAACTCCGTTTTGTTGGGGTGTGTCAGGACACGAGCTTTGGTGAAGGATGCCATGTTGGGAAAGATATTCTCCAAGAATAGAGTTAAAATACTCTTTGCCATTATCTGTACGAAGAATTTGTATAGCAACTTGGAATTGGGTTTGAACCATGGCATGAAATTTTTTAAACACGGATGCAGCATCGGACTTATCCTTTAGAAGATACACCCAACAAACTCGAGAATGGTCATCAATGAAGGTAATGAACCATCGAGTACCTGAAATATTTTTAACACGGGCTGGACCCCATATGTCGCTATGAATTAAGGAAAATGGGGAAGAGTCATGGTGAACTTTAGAAGGATAATGAGCACGAGTATGCTTGGCAAGTTGACAAATATCACAAGAAAACAAACTTGGACTTTTATTAATAAATAAGTTTGGCAACAACTTCTGGAGATAAATAAAATTTGGATGGCCTAGCCTACGATGCCACAGCATAACATCATTACATGAATCAAAAGGAAACAGAGTTTTTTTCTACGAAAACAGCTTCATGAGTCACATCCTCCTCAAAGTAGTAAAGTCCACCATCCTCTCTAGCACTGCCAATCATCCTCTCCGAGTCCTGTTCCTGAAAAACACAACCATGTGGAAAGAATTTAGCAAAGCAATGGAACTCAGAGGTGAGCTTGCTAATGGAAATGAGATTACAAGTCAGAGAAGGAACATAAAGAACTGATGTCAAAGTAATCAGCTCAGAAAGTTTAATGGTTCCGTGTCCCGCAATCTGGGAAAAACTGCCATCGGCGATCTTGACCCGAGAAGGTTCAGAATATGGAGTGTATGAACAAAACAAGCCAAGATTACCTGTCATATGATCAGAGGCTCCAGAATCAAGGATCCAATGATTTTGACTATCAACATGGAAAGTTGTACCTTGCTGGACCACATGACTAGTGGCCTTAGGAGGTTGCTCGTGGTAATAAAAAGAGTGTTTTGAGGAAGCCATGAATAAAAAGAGAAGGGTTGACCGTTGATGAAAAATCAAGTTTTGTAAACTTTTGATCTGACCTCTGGAACAGGAAGGGGAGAAGCCGACGAGAAGGTCTGTGCAAGTCGCGACGGAAAAAAAACGTCTGGAAGGCGGCGCGTGGTGGCGCGTGCAGCGGCTGACGGCGATGGGTCCAGCGGCGGTCGACTCGTCGGATCCTTCTGAGTCGAATGGTCACCTCACTTTTTTGATCGGAGGTCAGTAAACTAAGTTTCTGTGTTGGACAGATTCAAGGCGGTGTTTAGGAGGTGTTTGACGGTGATGGAAGTGTTTGGATGGTTATTTCAGATTTGAATTAGGGTAGGAACGAACCCGCTCTGATACCATATTGAAAAGAAGTTTTTGTATATTGATATTGAATAAATTACATGAGTGAGTATTTATACAAGAAAGAATCGCTAAGAATGACTAAGCGATGACTAATCAATCCTATCACAATCCTAATCACAATCAATTCTAATCAATCACAATTAATCCTAATCAATCATAATCAATCCTAATCAATCATAATCAATCCTAATTAATAGGAAATAAAAACGGAAACATGTTTGAATTCTAATTTTCTACAAAAAGCATAACACAAAAATAAAAAATACTCTATTGAGGTTGTAAAACTAACCAGCCCAACTATAGCTGATCCAAGAAACTTGACCCAATCCATTGGAGTTAATCCAGGATTTTTCTTCTCTGGCTGTCATGTAAGAAAGTTATTGACCAAGGTTATCACTTGTGTTTGCCAGGGAAGAAGTTAATTAGGTAATAAAAATTGGAATGTTTTCTAAATACATCACAAATGAGGCAAAGCAACTCACAAGAACTATTTCCATATCAGCCATTGGAATATTTTTGAAATGCTTCACATATATTCCTCGTTCTGCTTTCGATTTGGTACTGGCGCTCCTGAAGAAACAATTTTCATCTCAGATTTCAAATTTTCAATAGAAGTTTGAATATATAAAGCATATCTACCTGTAGACAACAATTATCCTATCAAATGTCGGTTCTTGGATCATGGTCTTGCCCAGCAAATTCCGGACACTGGCAATTGCAGCAAACAATCTCATGAGTGAGTCAGTGACCAGATCATCACAAATTCAAAATTTATGCAACTTAGATGCATGAGCACAGCAATTTTGGTGAGAATGGAACATCAGTGCTTCTTAGACAAATCAGAAGATTGACTGAATGTATGAGGAATTTTGAGGCATTTGAACTATTTTCTTAACCCATGAGCAAATCTTAAATCCAACCATTCTATATACAATTGAAGTTTTAGACTTTCATCACAATAGAATTCTCTATGCCCCAGTACTTAAGCTAATTTAAGATCCAGAACCTCGATCCAAAATGACTATTAGCTTGGATATGGTCATTGTTAACTTTTCCAGAGGTTGTATTAGTGTAATGGTTGTAAACTAGTAATTCCAAAGTAACATTTAGTACCAAAATTTTATGCAGTATTGAGCAAACAATGAGAATTTAAATCTTTGGTTCAATGGAAGCAGAATCAGGATTTACATAAATCTAGATTATCAGAAGCAATGTCATTCAGCTTGCACAGAATGGTCAACGTGAATAAGATGCATCAGATAAGCATCTATTACAAGTAATAAATTAATAATGTTATATAAATGCACTATCAACTATCAAGGGTCCTCACAAAGAAAATAAGATAACAGGATAACAAGAAAAACAGTAGCAGCAACAACAACAAACACACACAAGAGTACACACAGAGATGCAATAGGACCTTAGTGGCATATTTTCAAGACGTATCCGTTCAACATATAGGTCATCCCCATCTGCTTCAGAGTTAATTTCACTGTCCTGCTTTGCATCTTTTTTATTACGCCTTTTTGACCTTCTGGACAAAAGCTTTTCCAACCTGCAAGCATCACAACTTTAAAAGGTTTCTGAAAAAAAAAAGCTTAAGAAACATGCTGTGTATACTCTGGTATGTTCACATGTATAGATTCCACAATATGGTCTTTCACTGCATAGATAAAGCAGATGATATTGATTATAATTCATGCAAAAGAAATTATTTTACATTGACCTTTTAAAGATTTTGTTGAGACAAGTTAATATGATAATCAATATCATGACTTCTCATAATGGATGATTCATTAGAGTCAACAATAAAATTCACTTTCCAGTCTAAGAGCTGGCTTACCTAGTTAATCTTAACAGATATGCCCAAAAACGTCCAATGAGCATGTCCACCTTCTCCATGATAAAGTAGTCAGTTGTTCGATCAAGTCCAATGCCACGCCGAAAGATAACATACTAAAATAATAGGATGTATTAGCTTGCCATTTCACAAACAGACTAAGTGTGAGGAACAAAACAACTTCGATTGGTGTTTGTATTGGCAGGTGTTAATTACATTTTTTTCTGATCCAATGCACAAAATTAAAAAATAACTAATTGTGAATCAACCTCTACTGTGAGTGTGTGCAAGAGAGAAAGAGAGGAGGGAATATCAACTGCAGTCCCGCCATAGTTAACAATGGCACATATAGCACTGTTATCACGGTGCGACCTCAGGCTGTTACCCATTCATTGTCATTGAGCATTTTGAAGTTGCAGAAGTTGCGGCTGCTATCCTGCAAAATTGCAGCTCTTAGCAGCTGCTATTCTTCACAGGGAAAATTCCCCAATTTACCCACCCTGCTTTGTGCGTTATTGAATCCATTTTTGGGGTATTTTTGCAAATCCCCTTGTTTGACATCAGAAACCCTACGTGTTTCTGATTCGAGACTAAATGCACCTTTCTTTCACGCTCATATTTGTGAGTTGACACCATGAATAACAATGAAGCCTGACCTCCTAAGATTCCGGCTACCGATCACAGATTTTCAGTGGCGTTTCTGGCCAACCCACAGCAGTATAGCATTGTTTCTGGCAAGCTCCTTTCATGCATCATAGCAAAACCCTCCTTTGGTCTCAGTTCTGTCCACGTTCTCACTTATTCAGAGAGGTTTCTGTTCTTTTATTTATTTATTTTTTCAGCATCTGTGTTGTGTCTTTCCTCTGTTCTTTGATACTTTCCGTGGGTTGTGTTCAGAGAGGTAGCCTCACGTGTTGGGTTCTTTTCATTTTTAGAGAGGTCTAAATGTATTCCCCTGACTTTCAAACGGATCTCTATTTTTTCAATTTTTGATTTTAGTGAGATTTCCCCTAATTTTTCCTTTATGTTCCTTGACTTCTGTTGTTATTAACTTCACTATGACTTTTGACTATTAATTATGAACAAGTCTTTAATTTTGGATAACTTTTCACTTTTGAGCATTTAAATGTGTGTTATAAATTATTTCACTTGTATCTATAATTATAGTGGCTAAAGGTGAGCCATGGAACAGCGGCAAGGTTGCTCCTTGTGATCGGAAGGTCACAGGTTCAAGTCTCGAAAATAGTTTCTTCATAGAAATACAAGAGTAAGGTTGCGTATAATCGACTCTCACCCCTACCCTTCTAAGTTGAAGAGCTTTATGCACCAGATAAGGGTGTATAAACGGGCCGAGTCAAGCTAAGCTTTAGTTTAAATAGGCCAGACCTATATAAAATATTTTGAGTCTAGCCAGACTTAGCTTGATGTAAAGACCTATATTAAAAAGTCAAAAGACCTGACTTAGACCTGTTAGCCTATTTAAGCCTATGAAACATTCAATACCTATAAAAAATTATAAAAAAATAAATGAAATAATATGTAAAGAACAACCCAAAAGCTTAAGCTTTTGGGTGAGGCTACATTAATGGTTTTATATTTCTCTAACACATCCCTCACACAAGAGCCCGGTGGGCTTGAAGGGTGGACAATGCACAGGCCTGCCTACTTGTGTTAAGAAACTCCACAAGACTTGATTAATTATCAATTAAATGGGGGACGGTGAGGATCGAACCCATGAGACCGAGGCTCTGATACTATGTAAAGAATCAATTTAATCCAAAAGCTTAAGTTTTTGGGTGAGGCTACATTAATGGTTTTATATTTTTCTAACATAATATTATTTATTAATTTATTTAAATAATTTAATTAAAATAAATAATATGATATAGGTCGGCCTATAGGCTAGACGTGGCTTGATGTAGGCCGAGCCGTAAGCCCCTAATAGGCTGCTTGACCCATTTACACACTAGCACCAAGAATTTCCCATTTGAGGGTGAGTGTTGGAGCAACAGTAAGGTTGTTCCTTGTGACTGAAAGGCCATGGGTTCAAGCATAGGAAGCAGCCTCTTCACAAAAAATGCAAGATTAAACCGCATACAATCGACCTTCACCCTTACCCTTGCAAGATGGGGAGTCTTGTGCATCGAGGTTTTCCCTTATCTTCCTCTAGGAGATAAGGGCCTAAGGAAGCCCTGATTCAAGATAAAAATCCCAAATAATGGGTCCTACCCATTAGAGAGGTTGTATTTTACCCAAACTCTAACACTCTCAAGTACTCCCCATCTTCCAATTCTCGAAAATTAGTTCAACAATTGCCCGTGTCATGAAAGAAGCATGTAAAACTAAGAACAAATATCAAGGCCTCATCAAGCTCCCTTCTCGCCACTGTTTCATTTTAAATAAGCAAGATCTTTTTCTTAGAACAAATATTTAGTGAATCAATGAGCATGCAAAAAAAGATTCTAATTTCCAATAATGAAACTAGAAGGATGTTTTAATACCTTAAAAGGGAAAAAAATAAAAAAAATAATGTAGGTCAGCATACCTTGGAAAAAAAAGATTAAACACCATCCCACAAATTGAAAAGAAAAAATTTCAAAGAGATGGGCAGTAATGACTTATAAATTCATGAGTTTCATACAGCATCACTTGGAACCAAATCAAATCCCCCCGCCGCCCCCCAACCAAAAAAAAAAAAAAAAAAAAAAAAAAAAAAAAAAAAACCAGAGAGAGAGAGAGAGAGAGAAATTGCCAGCACGGATAATAAATAATGAATGCTACAGAACCAAGAAATCCTTGATGCATAAGTACCTCCTACAACAGATTCAGAGGCATACCTTATCAGAGAAATCTGGAAGGTTATCATGATGATGCTCTTGAAAATATTTCTTTAAAAGTGTCTTGTCAAGCTTCATTAGCAAAAAACAGACATCAGCAACTATTAGCAGCACAATCAAACATCCCAGGTAACCTATGCAATTAAAGGGGCATATATTATGCACAAACCTTAGATTCATCAACAGTAATGGGAAGATTTAGAAGATACTGGCCTGAATGTGCAACATCAATTTCATCTTCAGTCACTATCTTGAAGTTGCTCTTTTCCATGACCTGCATTAAGAATCAAAGAATCTTCATACAACATAAGAAACAAATATTTAAAAGATATACGTAATGATACTTTCTTTCGTCCAGCACCAAATATTTAAGTCATGCAAATCTTATTTACCAAATACCTCTTGTTTTGGAACTCTAAAAAATGATACTTGTATTATGATTACCTAAAGCTATACCCTTCTCTTAAGCCTTACCCTTTAATGACCCCAGTGTTTAACCTACAACACACTTTTAACCCCATTGATCTGTGTTAAAAGAGTAGCCATTATACAATTCATTCATTTATTCCAATAACACAAGTAAACTCAATACAGCCATAGTCACAATCCCTATACTGTCCCACCCTTCATCAATACCATAGGTTGAGTTAGTTTATAACAAATACCATCATTTTTACATTAGTAACGCATGAGGTGGAGATAGTACCTGAAATAGGTATGTCAAGAAATTCTGTTCAAGTACATCAATTTCTTCATGAGCTAGCTTCTGCTGTTCCAACTTCTGTGCCCCATGCACAGGGTCAAAGAGGGAGTAGAGTTGCTGAAGACATAAAAGAATCAGGCTCCACAACAACAAGGTATCGATAGCTATATCAAAAGATCAAGGAATGAATAATACCATCAAGTCCTCAAATTGTAGAAGGTACCAAGCTCGGATTGTGTACTCTACTCTCTTGCAGAGCTTCAAAAACTCAGCTCGGTCGGAACTATGTTCTGCATATATTACCCAAAAGACTCAAGCACAAAGAGAACAGCAACTTCGAAGGGAGAAAAAACATATGCTATATTTCTTTGTCTAAATTAATTAAAGAAAAAAAAGAAAAAAACTACAGAATTTGAACTCCATAAAAGAACTATTGAACTAAATTATCTAAAGGGTAGGAAATAACATTGAATTTCATCCCAAACATGCTTTTATAACTACCAAAACAACAACAACAACAAAAATAATACCAATAAGGTTGGCCAATGTCATTGTGAGCCTGGGCTTCAGAATTGGAATGACAGCTTCACGCTCTAAACGGATGACTTCATTCTTTTCCCGATCCATCCCTTGCGAAACTGCCATTTTTTCTAGCTACCCTCTTCGTAGTTACAGCAACACTCCCCAAAAAATTAATACTTGAAGCAACCAAGGCGTAAAGGAAACGTTTTTATGCAATATATGGAAAAGGGTAGGTGCAGACTAGATGAAACAGAAGGTTTTTACACAACCCATCAATTTATATTCATATGTTAAGATTCACGCTTCATAGACTGTAACCGCACCTCCCAAAAAGTAACGAAAGCACTCGAAGGTGAAGGTGAAGGTGAAGGTGGGGTCACACAAATGCGTTTTCACCAAACGAAGTTTTGGTTTCTTCGCAACCTCGCAAGTTTCAATTCTCCTTCAGATGGCAAAGCGATTGTTCATAACTCACAGAAGTGAAGTTTCAGAGATTTTTTTTTTTTTTTTTGGTAAGCAGAGCGTCGAATTAAAACTGTTTTTTGATTTATTCAAAGCTGTTTTTATTTTTCAATGCTAAAAAATATATTGTAAATTTGTAATGCTATTTTTTTTTTTCTGGTCAATTTTTTTTTTGTCTGTTTCATTTTACTGTTTGTCGGTCGAGTTGTTGAGTTTGATTTAGATTTTGAGGGAAAGAAAACAAAAAATTACTGATATTGTTTTTTCTTTTCATTATCCAAAGAAAATGCTGATAGTTATCTATTTCAAAATTGCACATTTTGTATTCTCTGACTTTTAAAAAAAAAATTATAATGTATCTTATAAAAAAAAAGTTTTTTTTTTTTGTACGATTATTTTATAAATCTTATCTTCTGTTTCCAACAAACATTTCTCACAGATTATCATCCAATTTATTATTAAAGTATGAAGCAATTCTTGAGAAGCATTATTGACATAGTAATAGTAAGTATCCAATGCTCGAGGGCGACTTTCTTGTCAATATCGAGAAATAAATTGGATCATATTTCTTAGTATAAAATATATTATGTTATTTATTTATTTTATATATTCCTCACAGGCTACTTCATTCAGGGTCTCGCTAATATCAATTTCGGAAAAAAATAAATTAAATTAACGATATGCATTTTTTTGTACTTATTACTACCAGACAATTACATAAGTTACATGAAAATTAATTTAAGGTATTTCAAATTATACTTAATTTTTTATACAATAATATTCAATCTCTCACACACACGTCAACATGAATCGATTATTATCTAAACAAAATTGATGAGTTCTTTTCTCTCTCATTCATCTTTTAAGTGATGTGTGGTTGTTAAAAAGCCAAGGAGACAAATGACCCGACACTGGTTCGTGAAGTTCAGAAGCCAGATTTGAAAGTTGATGTACGTCACATCATTTTTGTGTGGCATTAGAACCCGTTATTAGTTTGTCTCTCAAATTATAAGCAATTATCAAAAGACAAATAGCTTTTCAAGTAATTTAGTGAACAATCCATCTTAACAAGTGACAAAGGCCAATTCTATCGTGCAAGATCCGCACTATACCCTCAGATCAGAGCAACTTTTCCACTGTCCAATTCAAGAGTTATCAAGATTGCACATATTTATAATCACATTATAACTCTAATTTTGTTCCTAAGATTAAATTGGCAGTTAAAGTATATTTGAGTGCAAAGCTAATAGTTAATAAACTATCAACACCAGAGGCACCAGAGTTCTCAACCTTGGCTAGGGACAGCATGTAAAGAACATATTGTTCGTGATGACAACAGCAGCCCAATAATGCTCATCAATGAAGAATCACATTCCCAGCTTAAAAAATCAGATGATAGAATCAGAACCAGTAAAGGCCTATGTCCACATACTACAACATAATTTGGTTGCTGGTAACACAATCATAACCGAATAAGACCATTGTTCAGCATTATAAACACAAAACGAAATTATGAAAAAGAACAAAAGTATAGCTCAAAAAGAGGCACCTACCTTTCAAAATTATTGAAGAATATCTATCTAGAAACAGAGAGAGAGAAAAAAAAAAAAAAGGGAATGAAATATGTAACTTGCCTAATGACCTCAAATTCTTGAAGCTTATCTTACTCCCGGGCTTTCTCCCATCTAACATCTAGATATGTACATGTTATTGTGTTGACCATGGTATAGATATTTACATGAACCTATCTCATCTCAGGGTATATATATTCCTTCTATGGATCTTGCTCAAGTTACAAAATATTATCAACCCGGACAAAGTTGCATTTCTTTTCACTATCAATCTATCACTGAACCCCTAGATAGGTAACATTGGGTTGAACATAGTTTACCGGTTCCATGACCTCAAGTATGGCTTTCCCATTTGATCATGTAAAGCGGGATTCTGAGGCTGCAATGTCATCCATGCCATATCATCAGGCCCCAGAGAACTAGATGCCTCACGTCCATTGAAGTAGTCTAGTGGATGAGAAGATGGGGGTACAACAGCATTGATCCTGGGAGTACCTGCATCTACTACTCCATAGGTTCTTGGAGCAAGGAACTGGTCACCGTGTCTTACTGATTCATAAGGGCTACCTGAACGTAATTGGCTACACTGTGATAGAATACTAAATAAGCTTTGGTCTGAGTTCCCTCCAGTTCCAAGACTCTGACTAGATAGACTCCCACCATCAGATCCGTTCCAGCCACCACGAACTTGATGTTCAGCAGAAAACCAATGCTGACCAATGAAATCTCCAGTATTCACATGAGATTGGGAAGGTGCCACCATGGGAGGAGCATTAACAGCCCAATCAGTTATATTTACTGCAGATAATGGATCTTGCTTCGGCGTTAAGTATCTTCCTCCATCAGAATAAATATTTTCTGACAAGTTTTCTGGCCCAAAAAACACCTCACTAGATCTCCTCTGCCCTTGATCCAATGTGGGGGGTGTTTGCGATGGCTCCTTAAAATGACTAAAAAGTTGGCCATCCCCCATCATAACGTTGTTTGAAGTCTGGAAATCTAACGCGGCTCTTTTTTGTTCATGATGATAGGAGTTAACCCCCTTTCCCTTGAAGAGAGACGGAAGCAAGTCAATTCGATCCTGGCTCTGGTAAGAACTGAAGGAATCATCATTTGACAGCCTGTGCAACAACTCTTTACCGGTGTCTTCTTGATGTAAATCAGATTCTAGACTTATTAGTCCAGTTTGTTGCACTTCATCAACCTGTGGATTTACCAAAGATAACCCATTGGCTGTGTACTCATGGGTCACAGCAGAATCATAGTAAGAATGTGGCATTTTAACTGCTTGCCAGGCATTACAATCAGAAGAGAAAGGAGCTCCTTCACTAATAGGAACATCCTGGGAGTTCATAATCCTTGAATACTCAGATTTATTCTGTGAAGCATCATCTGATTTCGATAAAATAATTTTATCTGAATTTATACTCAAGTGGTTGAGCTCGTCATCACCGCTATGATAAGAATTATGCAGGGACTGGTTCTCTGAGGATCTAGCAAGAGAATCTTCATTATCTTCCAAGCTAGACTGATCATTAAGACCACCATCCTCTTCCTGATCCTGAGGCTGGATCCCTGAGCTCACAATCTCCTCATCCTGTGTGACAAATTATAAATGGAAAAGTTTTAACAGAACCATTGAGAAAAATGCCCTCATCGCATACGGCCAAGATAAAACCAAGGATCTTCCGAAAAGGAAACACTACTACAAACCTCTACCAGTGGCTTTGATTTATCCTTCATCTCAACTACCAATGAGTTTCTCATATCATGTGTCTGTATCAATCTCTCTTTCCAGTTTGCATAAGCCACAGGGAGGTCTTTGTTCACCAATTGCAACCTATAAAATCTTTTCTGATAAGCAATAATGGTGAAATTTTTTAAGATGTACTGTATTAAAAGATAATAATCTGACAGACATAACAGCCCTCAACATTGCACTAACCAGTGGTCATGCAACTTCTTCTGTTCTTCTTTGATAAATACTTTGTATGGCTGCACATGAATGTCATCAAGGTCACCCAAAACATGGTTTAGTGTCCTAGACTGGATCCCGTTGCAAGATAGCTTCATACTCTTAACAAGATCATGCTGTTTCTTGCTAATCTGAAACAAAGAAAACAATCAGCAAATGCTTAGGAGATATTAATAACTATGCAGTAAAAATGCAAAAGTTTGCTTTGTTTCAATTAGAATGTATGAATGTATTGTATTCAATTGTGTATAGAACTGTACAAAAGACCTCTATTTAAAGAGGTTAAATGACCTAATGGGCCAAGCCCAAATAACCTGCTAGAATAACAAAATAATAAATAATACAATCCTATATAATATTATATTATTTTCTAACACTCCCCCTCAAGCTGGTGCGTATATATCATAAGCTCACAGCTTGTTACATATATGATCTATTCGGGGACCTCTCAGAGCCTTGGTGAAAACATCTGCAAGTTGATCACTGGAATTGACAAATGTTGTTTCTATCTCTCCTGATTGAATCTTCTCTCTAACAAGGTGACAGTCAATTTCTATATGTTTGGTTCTCTCATGAAAGACTGGGTTAGAGGATATATGCAATGCTGCTTGATTGTCACAAATGAGCTTCATGGGCTGCTGTTCATAGAGATGTAGTTCCTTAAGCAATTGTTTAGCCAGATGAGCTCACATGTTGCATTTTCCATTACCCGATATTCTGCCCCTGCACTTGACCTTGCGACCACAGTTTGCTTCTTACTTTTCCAAGAGATCAAGTTTCCTCCAAGGAGAACACAATACCCCGAGGTGGATCGTCTGTCTGAAGAAGAACCTGCCCAGTCAGCATCTGAATAGCTAGATACCTTTGCATTCCCTTTATTTGAGTATAATAAACCTTTTCCTGGTGCTCTTTTGATATATCGAAGAATCCTGATAACTGCATCCCAATGGGAGTCACAAGGAGAGTCAAGGAATTGACTTGCCACACTAACTGCAAAAGAAATGTCTGGTCTTGTCACAGTAAGATAATTCAACTTTCCAACTAACCGGCGATAACGACCAGGGTCTGCTAATGGCTCCCCCTGTCCGGGTAACAGCTTAACATTAGGATCCATAGGTGTATCAATAGGTTTACATCCCAACATATCAGTCTCATCTAGGATATCCAGTGCATACTTCCTCTGACAAATGGAGATGCCCTGCCTAGACTGTGCCACTTCGATCCCTAAGAAATATCGAAGTCTGCCAAGTAATAATGATGTCATCAACATAGACCAGGAGATAGATGCACTGGCCAGAAGAGCTATGCCTATAGAAGACAGAATGATCGGCTTTACTTCTAGTTAAGCCAAAGGATTGAACAGCAGAACTAAAGCGACTAAACCAAGCCCGAGGGGACTGCTTCAAGCCATATAAAGATTTCCGAAGCTTACATACCATTCTAGAATTCTCCCCCTGAGCAACAAAACCCGGTGGTTGCTCCATATATACTTCCTCTTGCAAGTCACCATGTAAAAATGCATTTTGTGTTATCAAGCTGTAGAAGAGGCCATTGATGAATGGCAGCAAGTGCAAGAAATAGGCGAACAGATGCCATCTTGGCAACAGGAGAAAAAGTATCCCCATAGTCAAGACCAAATATCTGAGTGTATCCCTTGGCCACCAAACGAGCTTTGAGGCGATCAACAGTGCCATCAGGACCAACCTTGACAGTGAATACCCATCGACAACCGACAACTGACTTTCCAGGAGTAGCATGAACAAGATCCCATGTGCCATTGGAGTGAAGTGCTTGCATTTCATCAATCATTGCTTGACGCCAACCCGGATGAGAGAGTGCTTCACCTGTGGTTTTAAGAATAGAAATAGACGAAATACTAGAAACAAAAGTAAAATGTGGTGAAGAGAGTCTATCATAACGCAAGAAACTATAAAGTGGATGAGGGTTACGAGTGGATCGAATACCTTTGCGAAGGGCAATGGGAGTAATTTCTGATGGAGGATCCGGAGGGGAAGAGTCGATAGTAGCAGGCGGTGAGTCAGTAAGGGTCAAATCCGCTGAAGGCGCAGTCTGACGACGCTGATAGGTGAGAAAAGGACGGTCTTCAGGGATGGAGGCAAGGGGCTGCTCCTCCGGGATAGAGTCTCCTGCAACTGGTAAAGACAAATCAAGAAAAGGAACAGGAAGAACTTGATCAACTTGTGTTATCTGTGATGGGATAGAATGAAAAGGTTGTTGATCAAGGAAAGTGACATCAGCCAAGACAACATAACGCTTGAGATCAGGAGAGTAGCAACGATACCCCTTTTGAAAACGAGTATATCCAAGGAAAATACACTTGAAGGCTTTGGATGTTAATTTATCTTTTCCTGGAGTAAGATCATGAACAAAGCAAGTACATCCAAATACATGTGGAGGTAGAGGATAGGAAGGTGCTCCTGGAAATAAAACACTATGTGGAACTTCGTTATTGAGTACGGAAGAGGGCATGCGATTGATGAGAAAGCAAGAGGTGATTATAGCATCTGCCCAAAAACGAAGTGGAACATTCATATGAATTAGTAGGGTACAAGCAGTTTCAACCAGATGCCGATTCTTACGTTCGGCCACTCCATTGTGTTGTGGAGTGTGTGGACAAGTGGTCTGGTGTAACGTCCCACGTTTCTCCAAAAAATTAGAAAACTCAAGAGACACATATTCTTTTGCATTATCACTGCGCAAAATTTGAATAGAAGCACCAAATTGAGTATCTCGGCACAATTTTTGATAAATTGAAAATAATTCAGAACGATTTTTCATTAAATAAACCCAAGTGCAACGAGAGAAATCATCAATAAAGATGACAAAATACTGAAAACCCAAAACAGACGTTGTTCGACTCGGACTCCAAATATCATAATGAACAATAGAAAAAGGAGCATCAACTCTTTTATTGACTCTATTAGCAAAGGAGGAGCGAGTGTGCTTTCCTTGCTGACAAGAATGACAGTTGAAAGACTTAAGATTGGATAAAAAGGGAACCACATGCTGAAGCTTGGAGAGGCTTGGATGACCCAGACAGCTGTGAATTAGCTCAGGAGACTCTGTGAGAGAACAGGCTACTGCAGAAGGTGGTGCAATCAGATAGTAGAGACCTCGTGACTCAATGTCCGCTCCAATCGTCTTCCCCGTACCCGAATCCTGCATAGAAAAGGATTGTCTAGAGAAGGTAACAATACATGAAAGAGAATGAATCAACTGGCTAACAGATATTAAATTAAAAGGAATGCCAGGTATATAATAAACAGAACTCAAAGTTAAAAGGGGAGTTGGGTTGGCTTCCCCAATTCCACGAGCAAGAGCCTTAGTACCATCAGCAAGAGTGACAGAGGGTAGGTTATTAGAATAAGAAAGTGAAGTGAAGAGATCTTTATTACAACAAAGATGATGAGTAGCACCTGAGTCTATTATCCAGGGTCCAAGAGATGATTGATCAAAAAAAAAAATGATTACCAGTGTCTTGAGTAGGATGCTGAGAAGAAACCTTCTTGAGAAATGCCGCATAGTCGGCACTTGAAAGAGTTACTAATCCAGTAAAAGGTGGTGTAGCATCAGTTTGAGCAAAGTTGGCAGTCGGTGGCTTCAAATGAGGGTACTTCCTATAGCAGCGTTCTTCAAAATGCCCAAGATTCTGGCAATAATTGCAACGAGGCCTCTGTCTGTGGCCACGTCCGCGACCGCGTCCACTGTTCCAATTGGAATCACTGGCCCGAGAAAAGAATGGAGATGGGGTAGTACTGGAGATGATGCCAGTCGTGTTTTTGGATGCATTACTTGAGCCCTCCATCACAAAATAAAATAAAGGAGATGACCAGATCTGAAAATAGGAGAGGAAGGCGAGTTGTTCTGTATTTTTTTTTTTTTTTTGCGTGAACAGTTAAACTGTACGAACACGATGAACAGTGAATTTGTACGGACTGGATGAACAGTTCCACCGTGCGGACGATGTGAACAGTGGATCGTACGGACGCGGTGGACAGTGAATCTGTACGGACTGTACGAACGCGGTGAACAATAATTTTTTTTTCTTTTTTTTCAAAAAACCCGCGTGAAGAGTTTAGAACCAAGCCGGAGGGACGCACGGCGTTAGAGGAAGGAGAGAACGCCTAAGCAGTGGGCCTAGGGTTTTAGCAGAAGCGAACAATTCCCAGAACAAAGAGCTTTGATACCAAATTAGAATGTATGAATGTATTGTATTCAATTGTGTATAGAACTGTACAAAAGACCTCTATTTAAAGAGGTTAAATGACCTAATGGGCCAAGCCCAAATAACCTGCTAGAATAACAGAATAATAAATAATACAATCCTATATAATATTATATTATTTTCTAACAGTTTCCAAATCCTAAAAGGAAAAGAAGAATATGCAAATAATATTGTCATGTGTTATTAAATCTATAGTTGAAGTATATTTGGAAGAATTTACAAAAATCACATTAAAAGCTCTAATCAAATAAGAAAAATCAAGAGAAATATAAGAATATAGCAGTCTGCCTTCAAAGACTTGCTCACTCTTCATTATGTTAGTTGAAGTTTAACTTTAACTTGTCACTTAAGAGGGACTAGGATAAAAAAATTCGCATAATTGAGAAACAATTTTATTATCCATCTAATTACTGAGAGTGACACTAATGAGATAACTGACCCAGATACCAAGATGTTTATCCCAATCAATTTATTATTGTTCAGAAATAAGATAGAGGGAGTGCCTAACCTTGATATATGACATATATTTGTCACCATCACTAGAATGAATGTTCAGCTTGCATAGCTTGTCTCCTTTCTTGGGCCTTGCTCCCACATTATGCATATAATCTGAAGAAACCATCAAATTTTTGGGTTTACCTTTACTGAAGCCTTTGTCAAGCACCCTGCCAAACGTTATTTCATAAACATTTAATCGAGCACTAAAAAAGTAAGAGCTGATATACATATAAAGGAATGAAAACATAAACACAGCCAAGATCACCATCCAGCAGAAGATATAAAACAAAACAGTGCCAGCAAGACATATGCCACTACAAGACATACAAATATGAAAACAGGGGGGAAAATTTGTCCCAAATAACCACAGGATTTAGTTATATACCTTTCCCATTTTACAACATGACTCAAACCTACTTATCGTGCATACTCAGTTAAGTAATCACAACAAAAATTGCCTATGATCAAATTCAACAATCAACATCTTAGAAATACCAAAACAGAACAAACAAATATCTAAAGCAACCTTTAACAAAACCTACCAACATATAGTGAAGTGACAATAACAGAAGGATACCAAACAAAACTTCAATAAAAAAAGTTGTGTAGTCCACCTATGAATCCTTTGGACAAAAATATGCCCAACAATCATTAATGTACACGAATAATACTTGTGCAAAGAGCGATACAAACAATAAGCTATGATGAAATCCCCAGTAGAAGACCTATGCAACCTAAAGCACACAAATCAACACTTGATATGCTACCAGAAATCACGACAGGCATAGTAATAACAACCAACAAGCATAGCACAAGTGAAATGAGCATCCAACAATAAGGATACCTTCGAACTTTGTTAACCAGTTGAGTGGGTCATTGTACCTAAACTAAAAATATTTTATCAAGAGTTCCTTTTTCCTTATTTTCCACTGAAAACCTATGATGACCACAAGTAGAGAGTGAAATGATATATTTAACATCACTTAAATTAAAAAGGATGATCGTGAAAGGAAAGGTGAAACTAGATTATGTACTCTATCCATGCTAGCTGAAGTTTCAAAATAACTACAAGAAAACCAACATAAGATCTAGGAGAGACATGTAAAGGGTTTTCATTGAAATAACTTTTCAACTGCTAATTCTCGTTATGTCCTCTTTGCATCAAATTCCCGAGCCAAAAATCCAGAAACAGATGCTTGGATACAGTGATTAACCTTGGTTTACTATTAATATTTCAAAGAATTATTCCAAGCTTTATTTTTCTGTGCTTACAAACTCCAGGGATTGTACAAACCTACATATAACTTTAGGCTAAAAAAATTAAAAGGAAATAAAAAAAATCTTTCCACTTTTCCGGGTATAACAAAGTGAGAATGATGATAATAGCAGTAATGGGGGATAAAGTAACAAAAGCAATCACAAAAGAGAAGTTGACAATGACAAAATAATAGTAATTAGTAACAACCATGATAGTAGCATGAACTGGAAATGGAGATGACTATGACAGTTATAGCATTCATTCAATCCTCTAAAACGTAAAGAGTTCTCAAGGAAGTGGGTGGCGATAAATTTAAATTGTGGAAAACTTATCCCCTGTGAAGTTCAAGAAGAAATTCCATCCATCCTATAAGAAATATTCGTGTATGCATATAGGGTCTCTTAAGTCAGCAAGTAGATCTTATTCCCTGCTGTGAAGTTCAAGCAGAAATTCCTCCATCCTATATGAAATCTTGAAACAAATGCAGAACTCTTAAATTTCTATAACACAGTGGTTTACCTTACAGATATTTTACTTGGCCGTCAAGAATATCAATGGAAGCATTGATAAATTAAAAACTACACTCCTAAAGCATGTAAGATCTACAAAGTTTGTAGTTCAACTCTCAAATGTATTGCTGACTAAAGAGACCCTATATGCAAATACGAAGTTGCTGATTATAGATTGATTAGTTAACTTTTAGAGTAAACACTCTTTTTAGTCCCTGTCAATATCTACGAAGTCTTTTTTAGTCCCTGACAATAAAAAAGGACCAAAATGGTCCCTGAAATTACAAAAAAATGGTCATGTTAGTCCTTATGTCAACTCCTAAATATGTAGAGTGGCCCTTTTCTGGTACTTTCAGGGACCAATTTGGTCCTTTTTTATTGCCAGGGACTGAAAAGGACTTCGTAGATATTGCGAGGGACTAAAAAGGGTGTTTACTCTAACTTTTATGTCCATCATCACAATTTTGAAAAAATATGACACCCCACACTATTTAACAAAACCAATCTTTTAGAGGATGTCTATGATATATTCCAGTTATCTGCTCCCCGCTTGTACGGTTGTGTGCTGTCTTTCTATTATGGATACCTACCTATCCAAGCATTGGAAGCACAGAGTAAAGAAGGGATCCTTCTCGTAAAAATATGGAATAAACCCTGTCCTTCTTACTCAGTATTTTTGTATGTATGCAAGAGTGTGGTGTGTGCAGATTGCAATATATAGAAAGTCATCCAAGTGTCGAACCTCCAAGTCTTTTGCACAATTTCCTTTTCTGAATCTTTGCAGCTTTCCCAGCTCCCCTTTAACTTCATTAGAAATCCTACCATACTGCAAAAAGAAGAATGAGAACACATCATTAAGTACCATGCCAAAAGACAAATTCAGAATGTACAGTGAAATAACTGCATAACTTACTCATTGTGATAATCATGTAACTGCGAATAGTATGCTCTTTTATCAGACTTCAGATGCTGTTCCTGGTTAACAATCATATCTGGATGAAGATCACCTGAACAAAGTGAAGCACCCCTGGAAATATATATTACAACACACTTATCACTCTGAAAGAGAGAGAGAGAGAGAGAGAGAGAGAGAGAGAATAGTTTCATGAATAACCAGAAAACTACGGAAAGTTCAATCCATGTTATAAAAATACGGTGATGAGATTACAGGGGACAAAATCAGATTTCGCTGAGAATGAAATATGATAATGCCATTAAAACACTATTGATATACAATCATAGAAATGGTTGTCAAATAAACATAAACCATAAAATATAACCATAAAAACTATAAAGAATGAATGAAAAGTAAATACAGCCAAATTAGATCCCTGGAGTTGCAAAAGTTCAACCAAACTAGAAACTTGTCAATGTGCTCTAAGATATAAATAAAACTAGATCAAATTTCACAAAATCCAAACGATCCATAACAAAATATGCAGTTGGAAAATCCGGTTAACTGAACACAAAAATTTATAATAAGTCTGGTTACCATATCACATCAATGAAAAATACCTTAACAGTCATCCAAATAAGAAATTGTCACATTTAGCATATATTTATGTGTACACAGATGAATACAGTCAGATCAACCATACACATACTGAATACAGCAGATTGTGTCTCAAGAATGAAAATATTAAGAAAAAGATCTTGCCATTTCAAGAAAGGGTTTCCAAAGTGAAAGTTATCCCCAGAAAGTAATTCTTGTACAACTTGATGTGGCTCTAAGTCACTCGGAAGAAACTGCATAAGAAGATTTCTTTCATTGTCCGAAAGGTGTGTGTTCCAAACCTGCCAAAAGTTTCACAAAAGACAATTTAGAATTAAAAAAAAAAAAAACTATTTTCAGCTGCAAATAATTGGAACTGACTACAAAATGATAGTTACCTCATACGAAATCACTTCATTTAAATTATCCAAGCCAAAAATTTCTTCAGGTATGGCAAACACATCTGCCAAGATTTGGTGTCCATTAGGGACAAAATTGGCAAATGGTCTCATTTGTCTCCAACTGATGCCAATCTGTTCCCGCTTGGCAACAACTCTTTGCTGATTACCATCCCACTCAACAGAAACATGAGATTTCATGGCTAAATCACTTCTCACTAGTCCCAAATTCTTTCTTTTAGTCCTATGTTGCTCTGGATAACCATAACTAACCATACTTGCACCATTTGATCGTTTTCTTCTTTGATCAGCAGCCATGGCAGCGCAAGATGAAATGTTCTTCAACAAAACACTAAGCCAGTATGAAGCAAAACACCCATTCGTTCACTTTTAATTAACATCTTTCATCCGAAAGCAACCTAACAAGTTCCAAAGGAAAATAATCTGAATTATATGATAATTCTCAAAGTCCAAACCCCAATGTTCAGAGAAGTTAAACATTATTTTCCATCCATACAATTGCAATTTCATTTGGTAAAATTCCCTCCCTTGAAAGGTTTGAACAAAGCCATTCCCAGGTTTGAACGAAGCAAATCCATACTGGTTAGCATAGACATCAAGGTTCAGGGGTACGAAAGTAGAGCATGTTTGGTGCATGAAATTGTCATTCCATTCCTACATCTATTCCACAGGAATAAGGACTGCTTAGTTCTTTAGAAAAAGATTCAACACCAGCCCTTGATTCCATAGAGGCATGAATCCGCATTCCATTCCAGAGAGGAGAGATAGGTGATGGAAATTTTCTCTGTCCATAATGAATAAAAATTTGTCTAACTCGCTTATACCTTATTCATATTAGCTATATTTATGACTGCATTTTATCATGATTCTGTGTATGAAAGATAAAACAAAATGGAATGGAATAAAATGTGATCCATTCCTGAGCAATCATGTACCAAACTTGGAACTCAGCAATCACAAAAACAAAACACTCCAGCTACTTAAAAGTTCAGATGACACACCAAAGGAAAAGAGGTTATTATAAAAAGCTGATATGTGAAGCATTTTGAGTGAATCAACTCCAGTACAAGGTCACACACTTTTTCATACGTGCACAGGGCAAGTAGGCCCATAATATTTGTTCACTATTTTTCACATAAAAAAGGCTAATTCCATGTATCAGAATTCATCTTAATGCTAGGATGGATTTCCCAAAAACAAATACTCACAGAAGCATAGAAACAAACTTCTAAAACAATCTATACAAAGTAATGCATGCACATTTTACCAGTTAGAATCTGGAGTACCTTTAATGTTGCTATCACAAGTGTAATAGTTATTCCTATGCATAAAATCTCTTACAAGTACGTCACCCAAGAAGCAAGAACTATAATACAATTTACAGCTACTTCCAAACACCCAATGAAAAGTTAAATTACCAAAAGGAACAAACATCAATATTCATGCATAAGTGGGGGAAAAGCTTCTATATTTATTGTTCCATGCAAAATTAGATAAAAATATTTCTTTCTATAAAAAATAAAAGCACAAATATGCACCAAGCATGATGATTCGCAAGAATCAATGTAGCTGATAGCTGACCTCACTTAGTGAAAATGAGACTCTGGTGGTAGTTGTTGTTGTAGTTATCGTTGTTACAAAGAACTTTTGTAACTTTCCGCAAAACCCACACATCATATTGGAATAACATCAGGAAGTATGCAGAGGAAGTTAACCAACACAAATCAGCCTCCTTAACAGGTAATTATAACAGAACTATAACGCGACACACAATCACCAAACCTGTATGATATGAGGGCGTGAATCCCACATTGGCCTGGTGTAAGACACAAAACTCCCACTAAAAAACCTTGTCATTAGGAGAGGGTTCTCCTCTACAAAAAGTGGTATAAGTGGCCGCTTTGTCAATCTATTCTTCCCTATCCAATAAGGTTTGAAACACAGCACTAGAGCATGAGTCCCAAAGTAGAGGCTCTCCCCCTTGAGTCATTAACACCTAGCTTTTAGTGGTTGAATTCTCTATTATTTTGATAATCAATTTGAGAACAAGGATTTCCGTTTATCATTCCCAATTTTCAATTTAGCATAATTTCTGTGTGTTTGTTTCGGCATCATATTCAATATTTAAATCCCCAAAAGAAGCAAACCCATTGCACAATTTTACTGCCCTTAAACTTCAGTCCCTCATCCCCCTTAAAAAAAAACAAATAATTACCATAAGAAGAAAAACATAACAAAGATAACAAAACCTCACGTTTTGTTCGAATTCCTACGCACGTAACCCATCAAAAAAAAAAAAAAAATTACATATCGAAATTCAAAAATTGCCGAAAAACCACATTTCAAAAGTTAACTTGTTTGGAACCCTAAAGACCAAAGGTTTAAAAACATAGATAAGAGAAGCTATCGCAATAAAATAAATAAATAAAAATTAAAAGATTACCAGTGAAATGGTGGGCGCTAGTAAGAAGATTGTAATCTGCAGAGCAAATTGAAGCAACAAAAATTCGGAGAAGGATTGAAATTGCAGAGAAGAAGATAGCGATAGCCTAAGAGCGAGAAACAAAGAGAGAGAGAGAGAGAGAAGGTTGTTTCGGATTATACGATGGGGGGTTTGAAGTAATGGAAAGAAGACACACCACAATTTGAGTGTCTGTGTTTTGTGTGTCTCTGTGTGAGGATCAGACGAGTGTGGCTTCCTCAACGAACCGTTATTTTCCGCATTGAACCATTCCTTCGCGCGCTTGAGCTCGGCTTGGCTCGAGCCTCTAGCCACTAGGGTTCGCTCCTCCGTGTGCTGTCGTGTGGTTCGTGATGATACAACCGTATGCTTTCTATTGGGTTGCTAGGATACGAAATGTTTGAATTGTTCTGATTTTATTTTATTTTTAACTTATTTTATAGAATAGTTAATCAAATAGATATTTTTTATATTTTTTTTAAAAGTTAAAATACAAAATAAAAATAACTTAAATATGTTTTCTAAATTAAATTCTAAAACAAATAAACAGGTACAATTTTTGAAACTTTTTTTAATGAATAATCCTTATCAAACGAGTTTTTTTAATTTTTATTTGAAAATTAAAAAACTTTTTTTTGAAACAGATTTCAAACAGGCCCTTTTTCTTTCGAATTTGAATTAGTTTTTAAAATAAAAATATAACTAATTGTTATATTTCTTAAAATTTTAACACTTCTAAAAATATAAAAAAATTAATATATTTAGATTTAATTTAATATTTTCATATTTATGTAATAATATTATTTGGATGTCAAACAAAGATGTCTAGCTTAGGAGATGGTAATTATATTTATGGAATAAAGGTAGAGGAGACCAGCAATAGGAAGCACAGTATCCTTAACCAATAGTCTGATGGTATGAATAAGGGGAGTATGTATGCACCTAGAGATGGTGCGTGCTTTGGGAGTAGATTGAACAATATTCAAAAGTTAGTTCCCCTCTTGGCACTGTTCTGCTATATATTAAGCCTTTAGGGACAGTTAATGGGGTGTAAAACGGCCTAGAGTAGTATTCACATAGGAGATGGGCGAGGGTGAGAGAATGGTGTTTAGAAGATCGTTGATCGTAGACGCACGTCTTGAGTTTGTGGGCTCAGATAAGCTCACGGCCTGGCCAGCGACAGGAGACCTACATGGAGGTGCCAAGCCAAAAGTACCCTCACCATTGAAAAAGTCGCGAATAGCAAGGGAAATTTGTGAGGGAAAAATTCCCTTTCAAACTGCGACGGAATTTGCAAGGGAAAAACAATTGCGAGAGAAAATAGGCAAGATTTCCGTTACTACATTGCCGTCGCAGAATCCCTTGCAGTTCGGTCGCAATTGGCAAGGGAAATTAAATCCCTTGCAAGAATCATAAGTCTGTGACGGAAACAGCGAGGGAAAAAATTGGCGACGGAAGTTCCCTCGCAAAATTTAGGATCTGAAAATTGCAACTGAAATTTCACAATTTCCCTCGCAAATTGCGAGGAAATATATTCCCTCTCAAATTCCCTCGCAAATTGCGAGGGAATATATTCCCTCCCAAATTGCGAGGGAAGGAGGGAATATATTCCCTCACAAAATTCAAAAATAATATATAAATCAAATTTTAAAGGGACAAGGGCATAAATTGGTCGCCGCATCATGTGTATGAGAAAAAATCATTAAATATGTCGCCGCATCCTTTATGGCAGACATTGAGTGCATGTAGTGACAGTAGTGCCTATGTCAGCTAGTCATAGGAAAGATAAGACTCTGTTGATATTTAAGGTGTGTGTAAAAATTGTTCAATAGTGAGAAGCAGAGAAAAATGTCTGAAAGATTCCTGTTCCAACCACCCTCGTCGCCATCACTGTACAAATTAAATGAAAAGTGACACATGCTTCCGATCGATGCTACCAAAAAGGGCATTGGTCTTTGTAGTTGGGCTTTAACCACTTAATTAAAAGTCAAGTCTGGCCCAATAAAGAAAGATAGGGTTCCCAATTCAAGATGTTCAGCAGCCTCTTGGACGTGCATGAATAGCATTTTGAAGACAAGGGAGTATGAAAATCAGTCACTAAGAGAAAATAGAGAGAGCCATTTTAGAAACTTCACATAAGAATTGAAGAAGGAGTAATCTTTGATCATTCTACGATATATCTTTCATCTACCGTTCGATCCAGCTGAGATTCTATTAGTAGCATCACCAGAATTTCGAAACCAACACTACTATGTGTGTACGATTCTACTGCAGGAAACAATCTTGAGAGAATGTTTTTTTCTCTTAAATTCACTGTTGGATCGTGCTGAAATACTTTAAGCAAGAGTTACAATCATTATACTTCATATCTAACGATCAGTTTGTCGATTGGAGCTCACACACACACACATATATAACTTTGAATGTGTGTGAGTAACATTTTGTTGGCATATTCCTGACTCATCATTATTCATATCCAACGGTGGCATTTCTGGTTGGAGGCCTGTAGCATCACGAGAAATTCCAAACCGAAGTGGTTTGTGTGTAGGATTCTGTTTTAGGCAGCGATCTTGAGAGAATGTTTCTTTCTTGAGTCCACCGTTGGATCGTGCTAAAATACTTTAAGTAAGGGTTGCACTTATTATACTTTATATTTAACGGTCATTTTTTCGATTGGAGCTCTGAAGATTGGTGCAACTGAAACAGAGGATAACAGTATTCCTACTCTATTTTGGGTAGTAAGATTCCAAGGGAAATATCTTTTTGCTCAACCATTTGATTGTCCTCAATATTAGTTAGTCCCACCATGATGTTGATACTTTTGTCAACACACATAATTGCTTCTCATGAAGAATACATGTGGTTTATAAGAAAAAAAAATATGCAATATTATTTTTTGCCATTATTTTAAAATAAACGGATCCTTCTCCTTAGTGTAATTTGTAAAAATTTGTAAAAAAAAATTTGTAAACGGAAATAAAGCCTAATTTTATTCACAAAAAGTATGTTAATAAATATTGGAAATAAAATTAATTAATTTGGAATATTTTAATTAAATGAAATTTCAATTATTATTATACGTTAAAGAAATTATAATTAAAAATTTACATTAAAACATGAAGTATGGTAAAAGTGAAAATAAAAAAAAAATTAGTTATTAAAATATAAAGGTATATGGAAGCAGGATTCGAACCCTTCCCTCAAAAGGGCTTTTGATTGTCGTAAACCAATTTGACTACTGGAACACTGTAATAAAACATCACATTCTTGTTATTTTATTTGTACCTTTAGTTATCCCTTCCAAATTTTTATAAAATTCCCCTCCTCCTCTTAGGGTTTTCAGTTTCCCTCTCTTTCTCAATACGACTATTGTTTCCCTCTCTTTCGTGCGCTTAACTTTTTCTCACAACCTCTCTTTCTGTTGGTTTGTTCCCTCTCTCTAGCAGAAAGAAAGAAAGTTGGCTACAGGAAGCAATAAACCTGATCCAATAGACCTGTTAGCTAGCTTCCCCACACAAATGGCTACAGAAAGCAGTCTCGAGAGGATAAGTTCTTTTTCCACGCTCTGTTCATCATTCACTAGTGAGTGTTCTCTCAACCTTACTATGCTTCTTCCCTTCCATATCTTATCTAGGGTTTACTATGTCTCCATCAATTTCAATTTTGAGCGTTGTTTTGAAACCCTGTTTTTGTTGTTTTTCATTGGTTTTTGTGCATGTTTTTTGGAGTTTGAATATGATGGGTATTCTTGCATATGACTTTGTCCTGACTTCATGACTTTTTTGCTTTTAGTAGTTATCTTGTCTTATGACTTTGTCCTCTTGTGGTCTTTTACTCATTTCTCGATTACAGCTTTTGGAAGTCAGGTGCTCATGGTGCCTCTTTAGGGTAATATGAGACATTTACTCATTTTTCGCTTCTAGCATTTTGCAGTTGGGTGCCCATAGTGCCTTTTTAGGGTAACATAAGACTTTTACTCATTTCTCGCTTTCATTTTTTGGAAGTTGGATGCCCATGTTTAGGGTAACATGAGACTTTTAATTATTTTTCATTTTCGGCTTTTGGAGTTTGGGTGGACATGGTATCCTTTTAAGGTGACATGAGACTTTTACTCATTTCTTGCTCCTAGCTTTTAGAAGTCGGGTGCCCAGGTACCTTTTTAGGGTAACATGGGATTTTTACTCATTTCCCGCTTCCGGCATTTGAAAGTCGGGTTCCCATGGTGTCCTTTCAGGGTGCATAGGACTTGTACTCATTTCCTATTCCAGCTTTTGTTCGGGTGCCCTTTGTACCCTTTTAGGGTAATATGGGACTTTTACATACGGTTTTAAATGGAATCCGCTTTATTCACTAATGCTTGCAAAGTACAAAATTCAAAGTACAATGTTGTAAAAAAAATAGGTAAAAGTAATTTAAATGAACTACCCAAAGGCAGGAACTTTTGAGGCTCTTAGTTATAATATTGCTTTAACTTTGCCACATTCCAATGCCTCGTGATGGGCTATCCACCTAAGTTTCTAGCTTGTAGGCGCTTGAATTTATGCTATTGATTACCCTATAGGGACCTTCCCAATTAGGCACTAGCTTGCCTTCAATGGCATTCATGTTCTTGATATTCGCGCTCTAATGACTCCTCTGTTGTACCGAGTTGCTACCCGTTGTTTAGAGGTGAACTAGGTTATGGAAGCTTTTTCTCGGTCCTCGTCCAGCAATTCAAGGTTCACCTTCATCAATTAGTTATTCATTTCCTCGGGAAGTTATCCAAAAAGGCTCCCCGACCTTTACAGTTATCATTGCCTCGAAGCCATAAGTACGTTTGAACGGGGTTTCTTGGGTGTTGGACTGAGTCATCATTTGGTATCCTCATAGAACATCGTACAACCCCCAACTCACTTCCCCCAACATCTGAGGAGCTTCTTCTTTATGCCAATGGTTAGGATCTTATTCACCGAATCGGCTTGCCTATTTGTTTGAGGATGCTCCACCGCCGTAAAGTTGTGCTTTACCCCCAACTCATCGACGGCTTCCTGGAACTTGCGATCTGTGAATTGAGTTCCACTATCCATGATGATCACTCCATGATTACCAAATCTGCACACTATTTGCTTGTAGAAGAACTTCTATACGTTCTTTATCGTGAATGTTGCCATTGGTTCGCCTTCAATCCACTTAATGAAGTAGTCCACAACAATGACTAAGTATTTAACCCATTAGTAGCTTTGGAAAAGAGACCCAGGATATCTATTCCCCATT